GTTAGGAAGGTAAATAATGAGGGTTAGATTGTTAGGAAGGTACTTAATCAGGTTTAGATGGCTAGGAAGGTATATAATCAGGTTTAGATAGTTAGAGAGGTATATTATCAGGTTTAGATAGTTAGAGAGGTATATAATCAGGTTTAGATAGTTAGAGAGGTATATAATCAGGTTTAGATAGTTAGAAAGGTATTTAATCAGGTTTAGATTATTAGGAAGGTATATAATCAGGTTTAGATAGTTAGGAAGGTATAAAATCAGGTTTAGATAGGTAGGAAGGCTTATAGTCAGGTTTAGATAGTTAGGAAGGTTTATAATCAGGTTTGGATAGTTAGAAAGGGTAATAATCAGGTTTAGATAGTTAGGATATAAACAAGTTTAGATAGTTAGGTTTAGGTAGTTTAGTGTAGTGTAGTTTAGTACAGTGTACAGTTTACAGTGTATTGTACAGTTTACAGTGTAGATTGTACTGTACAGCTTACAGTTTACAGTGTACTGTACAGTTTACAGTGTACAGTGTACTGCACAGTTTACAGTATACAGTGTACTGTACAGTTTACAGTGGACAATATACTATGAGAAATTTACAGTGTTCACTGTACAACACACACTCCTCTGCCGCTTTAGTAATTTCAACTTGACGGTACAGTCCAATGTAGGACTGCAAAGGTTGGCTCAGCTTGGATATTCAAATGTACGCCGGTTGGGCGTGAGCATACAGTGTACAGGTAACACCGGCGAATAACAGAGATAAGAATCTACATCTGTATTTTCTACAGTGTATGTTGTAAGTACTTGTCAATTAAAATAAGAATTTGTTTATCAAAGTAATCCGACTTTTTTATTCAAGGTTTATCATTCAAATCTAACTTTCCTTTGAATATTTCGGAGCTTGTTGTCTTTATACTTTCCTACATTAAGTATCTATTATGCTAGTTTCTTTTTTCTTTTTTTGTTTCATTTTTTTCTCATTTTTTTTGTATGGAACATGTTCTACTTTTTATTTGGTCCCGTTCGGCCGAAAAGATCTCCTGCGACGAAACGGTCTATTTGAGTGATATGCTACCTATACTTCTTGTTACTTAGACAGGCAAATGTAACATTTGTGCTCATTTTGAAGAGCAATTGTGCCATTTCATTTCACTTAGTAAGTGATCTAATAATGAATGATATTTTATTTGTTGTTTCTAATAAAATGAAATATAGTTGTCAATATTCCATATATCCTGGTATAGAGAGGGGTTGGAGAGGGTTCCCTTGATTAAAACGTTTGCTTCTCCTGGGATTAGAGTTTCTCTAAATCCCCCTAAAGGGGGCGACACTAAGACTCCGGGGATATTAACATACATTTATATCAAATACCAAATCTATCTATCTATCCTGTAAACCATATACAATCTATCTATCTAACATGAATAAATATACATAATTTCTAATTGTATTTGTTAAAACGATTAATTCGGAATAATATATCATTTATATTTAAACTAGAGAGATTCAACAGGGTGTCCAAATAATATATCATCTATATTTAAACTAGAGATATTCAACAGGTTGTCCAAATAAACATGGGAATTAAATGACAACTTCTAAATCGTCTTTGTTGCATCCGGGACTTTTTTGGAAACAGTATTTTGTAGTATAACATTTAACACCGAAAACTGTATATACATTTATAAAGTGTTTACTTCCACCCGTCCTACATTTAGTCATTGTTTTAATAAGATTATTTTATATTTTTGCACTATTTATCTATCTATCTGTCTATCTATCTATCTATCTATCTTTCTCTATATATCTATCTATCTATCTATCTATAGTCTATCTATTTATCTATTTATCTATCTATCTATCTATCTATCTGTATACCTATCTATCTATCTATCTATCTATCTATCTATCTATCTATCTATTTATCTATCTATCTATTTATCTATTTATCTATCTATCTATCTGTATATCTATCTATCTATTTATCTATTTATCTATCTATCTATCTGTATATCTATCTATCTATCTATCTATCTATATATATATCTATCTATCTATCTATCTTATCTATCTATCTATCTATCTATCTATCTATCTATCTATCTACCTATCCATCTATCTATCTATCTATCTATCTATTTATATATCTATCTATTTATCTATTTATCTATCTATCTATCTGTCTATCTATCTATCTATCTATCTATCTATCTATCTATCTATCTATCTGTATACCTATCTATCTATATAACTATCTATCTATCTGGTGAGTGTATTCAAATGAGTATACTAATGTGGTTAATGATATAAAAGTTGGATGGTTTACATTTGCATCTAAAGTGTAGATATGGGTTCTTTAATGGGATCATAGGATTCATCTATTCATTCATTCATTATTGAACTGTTTTTTCAACCATCCTTATTAATTTGTTTTTTACCCATTCATTCATTCCTTCATCCTTTATTTATTCATCCTAATCATCATTCATTCCTTCATTCTTCATTAAATTTTTTTTGAAACATCTTTAATCATCTCTTTAAATCTATTTTATTAAATTGTTTATTCATCGTTCTTTATTCATCTATTCATTTCTCATTCTTTAATAAATTGTTAATTCAACATTTTTTATTCATTATTATTCATTTACCCATTCATCTTTTGTTAAATTGTTTATTCAAACATCTTATTCGTCTATTTCTTAATTCATTATTAAATTGTTTATTAAACCATCCTTATTCATTTTTATTCATTAATTCATTCATTCGTTATTGAATTGTGTATTTTAGCCATTTGTATTTATCTCACTATTCAATCCTTCATTCCTTTAATGTTTATTAAATTTTTTATTCAAACACCTTTATTAATCTTTTCACTCATTCGTCTATTCATTAATTCATCCCTCTTTATTCTTTATTAAATTGTTTATTCAATCATCTTTATTCATCCTTATTCATTCACCCATTCATCCTTGATTAAATTGTTTATTTAACCATCTTTATTAATTTTATTCATCTATTCTTTTCTTCATCTTTAATGTATTAACTTTTTATTCATTTTCTTCATCTTTAATGTATTAACTTTTTATTAATTTTCTTCATATTTAATGTATTAACTTTTTATTAATTTTCTTCATATTTAATGTATTAACTTTTTATTAATTTTCTTCATCTTTAATGTATTAACTTTTTATTCATTTTCTTCATGTTTAATGTATTAACTTTTTATTCATTTTCGCCTTTATTTCATTCATAAGTGTTTTAATCTTTACGGTTTGTTTTTTAAAAACTTGGAATAAAATCTTCCACATTTGAAAAAACTGTATTCTTTTAAAGTTTGCTTTAACAAAATTTGTAATATCTTTATCCCAGAAATATAAAAAGAAACAATAAACACTCATTTTTTGGTTCGTTTTTTGCCAAAATTTTCTCTCAGGGCCAAAATTTGGTATATTGTAATGTAAGAAAAAGAAAATGTGCAGAAATTTTCAAAGTTTCTCAGAATTTGTTGTAAACCTTCAGAAGTACTGCACAGGAACCAAAACCTAACCAACCCAATTAACAACCTCTTTATTAATCGACCAATAAAAGACTAAAATACTTGCGTGAATCGTGCATGTAATCCCTTATATATAGAGGGTCACGTGAATCGGGCATGTAATCCCTTATATATTGAGGGTCACGTGAATCGGGCATGTAATCCCTTATATATTGAGGGTCACGTGAATCGGGCATGTAATCCCTTATAAATTGAGGGTCACGTGAATCGGGCATGTAATCCCTTATACATAGAGGGTCACGTGATTCGGGCATGTTATCCCTTATATATTGAGGGTCACGTGAATCGGGCATGTAATCCCTTATATATAGAGGGTCACGTGAATCGGGCATGTAATCCCTTATATATTGAGGGTCACGGGAAACTACGTCAACAATCTCTTTAATGAATTCACTTGATTTTACTCGTTAAAAAGTAACAACAAAATTAAACACTACGATATTTGTTTTTTCTAAACAAGAAGCCAAAAATTTAGAAAAATCTAATAATTGTGGAGTAATCAATAAAAATAATTTTTGGGTAAAGTTTAAGAATAATGTAAAAATGCTTTATAGTTTCTTCTCTGTTCTTTTCTTCATATATTAACCCTTTATCAAAAAATCTTTATTCTATACATTTTATTCTATATTTTGTCCGGTTGTCTGAACATATTCTTTTCTTCTTTATATTGTAATATCATAATATGTAATAATAACTTTGTAAGATCTTTTGAACAAAATATGTGAAAGAAAAGAAAGAAGAAAAAAATAGAAAATGAAAGAAATTCAATAGAAATTAGAAAAAATAGTAAGTGACAACTCATGATAAAATAAAATCAACATACAGAGTTAGATTTTTTTATTAAAATTTTTACTCCTAAATATTCAGATACAAACAAGTTACAGAATCCTTAAGTGTTGAATATCCTATCTTGACAAAATCTTATTATTATTACAAAATACCCTTGTTTTTGACCTAAAAATTACCCTTTGGCCTTTTTAATCTGTAAGGTTGGTCAACCCCCCCCCCCCCCCAGTTTCGCCTATGTTCATTCAATGTTTTTAACTTTAATTTGGTTTAAAATCTCTGTAATAATTACCAATCGATTTGTGTACGAATTGTATTATTTGTACTTTGTATTGTATAACCCCATAAGAGTACATATGGTGTACAAGTGTACAGAGTACATAAAACTCAGTCAGTTATCTAAATCTAATCGCTTATCACTATCAGTCATCGCAGTTGATAGATTATTGCAATTCAGCTGATTTGCTTATCACAGGTTATTGCAATTTAACAAGAATCGCGCCATCAAAACATTTTATTTGCAATTTAACAACGTTTTTTTTAATTCTTATGTAACAAGTCGTCTAGTTGTTGTGAAATACATATACGATCTTTACAATACATAAACTTTATTTCAGAAAAATGGTCATAAAGGAGAAATATTTTTCTAACACAGATCATGGTATAATTCGATATTCCCTAATAATTATCTTGTTAACTTGTGTAGGTAGCTTAGATTCATTTTTAGATTGAAACTTTTAGTGAGAATGTTGACATTTGTCTGCTATGTTCTATAATATGTCAAGTCCAGTAAAAAATATCTAAATTGATCAAATTGAGAGAGAGTGATATTTGTCCGATGTGTGAGGGACAAAACAGATTGTCAACACCAATTTCTGTCCAGGCATTTTTTGGCAGATTTTCTGTGGATTGAAGCAAGGGCATCCAATATCTCCGGAGAGCGAGGGAGCTACCGCACCTCTATACCGAGGATGAGGGATGAGGCTGGGTTGTCAGTCTGATGGGAGGTGACCTCTTAGATTGACAGCCGCCGTTCTATCCTACCCTTGTCCTCCGCCAACCTCCTTTATAACCAGTCCGAATTAAATTCCGACCGGTAGGTCCTGCCATCCTGCGGTCGAATTTGGAAACTCTTCCTTGGCGGATTTTCACTTGACGCGGTCCGTCTGTTGCGGCGGCAGTGGCGGCGGGGAGAAAAGCCGGTACGGTTCGTCAAAACTGACGTTTGGAGGTGCGGTGTAGGCTGGGAGAGCGGAGAGCCGTCCGTCTAGGCTCTTCAGTTGAATACAAGACTGGCATATCTGTCATCTAACTGCGCCTGAATTCTCATCCCAGAGTGTCATTTTGACTAGTATTACAGTGAAGGTTTACCTATAAGAAAATCTTGACACCTCTATGTCATATCGAGTGACTAAAACGGATGTAGGCCAATCTGCAGATTTTACCCCGTTTTTGGGATAAAAAAAAATAATTCGCGGATTTTTTCTTCGGCGGCATGTGAAACAAATCCGTAGATCTGCCATCATCAGTCAAACACGTCGCAGAGTGAGGGGTGGTCCATAGTGACAGAACATACACATCAATTTTTTTGGGAAAAGCAACCGACATTTATTGTGAAGCCCCAAGGGCACATCAAAATATAGAGAAGCAGTGATTTTTTACAAAATGGTTTTCTGAGATAGAATCCATTAAAATGTATCCGTTGGTTAAACTGAAGTGATATTTTCTAAATATATATACTAGAGAAGAGGTTGAACAGAACCAACAATATATAAATATATTCTCAAACATCGATCAAATTTTAAACTATGACCATGGCACAGCCTAGGGTGAGAACTTATAAATAAAAGTTTTTTTAAAAAGCATCAAAAGTTTAACTGAAATACATGGGATTAATAAAAAACGAAATCTAATCTTCAACACTTTAAACTAATTGGTAAAAACTTATCAAGTTTGAAATCAAACATAGATCTTCCAATAACAGTAAACAAATTAAAGTTCAATTTAGAGACCTTCTCCTGTTTAATTTTAATTTTTAATCTTTGAACTTAGTAAAAAAAACAAGTTTCTTTAAACAATTTTCTTATTAAAATTTAATATTTATTTAGAACAGAACAAATGTCTTTGAATTTGAACCTAAAAAAGAGTACTTAAAGAGAGAGCTTACTATTTTAAGTAATTTTTTTAAAAACTTAAAATTAAATAATTCATTCCCTTCCCCATCTTAAAAACGAAAATGCCATCAAAAAACAAACTTCTTAAAAAAAAATAATAAGAGCATTTACACTTATTAACAATTCTCTTAGAAAATATAAAGTAAAAAAAGCTTTAAAAATGCATATTAATACTGATGCTCCCAACAATTAAAGGTTAACTTTTAGGTGAAAAAGTTAAAAAGAATTATCAAATGAATCTATCAAATTTTAGAACTGTATATAGTAGTTTACAATCAACTAAATCATATAATTGATTTTTAAAATTCGAATAGACTTAATTAGAGAAAAAAAAATCAATTTCAATCTAAGACTCAACGATTAGTATTTCCAATATGAAAATAAATTTATTATTTTGTTAAGTTAAAAAGATTCATTTATAGTTTTTAAATAACAAATTTGCATTTTTGATTATCATTTAAGCGTAAACCTTGAACAAGTGGAATCATAAATTTAATCTGAAATACAATAAATTTACTTTTCAAGATGAATTTTTTTGTCGCAGTGCATTATTTTAATCATCCGAAAACTCGACTAAAACTCGCTTCTTTAACAGATATTGCAGAACTCAATGTTTTTTTTCATATAAATCCAACTTTAAAAAATTATGCCAAAAAAAAGGAACATAAGGAATTGGAAAGTTTTATTTGCAAAGAAAAACAAAGAGAGTGTCTGTGAGCTTTTTGCTAAAAATGCTTTCAGTTAAGGAATAAAAAATTTGGAACTTTATAAATGAAAAATTCTGGATCTTAGTGTTAAAACATTCTTCAAAGAAAATTGATATAAGACATAAACATTAAGTCAATATTTTCAAATGTAAAATAGGTTAATTTGCCTTAGTTTCTATGTTAGTATTAAACTCAAATATTGAAAACTGTTTGAGACATTGAAAAATTATAACTTTAAAATAACTTTTTATTTGAATTCTTAGTTTTAATTTTTGACTCCAATGTCAAAAAGTGTTTGATGGCATTTTCTTGTGATTTTATGCACTTCAGATATATTTTCAAGTATGAAGTAAAAATAGAGATTATTTTGTTGTTGATAAGTTATGAGATCTAAAGTTCAAATTTAATGTTTTGATTAAATGGAAGAAGGTGTGAGATTAATTTGTAAGACCTGTAAACATGTTAAGAGAATGTCTGGGTTGCATTTTACCACTTAAAGTGAAGTTCATGGTTTATCACTAATGCACTTTTGACACTTCGCTGTCTCAATATTGCAAGTGTTTAAAAAAACGTATACTTCTCAAAGGTGAATTAGTAGTATGTTTAAGCAGGATTTAAGGGGTGTGCCGATTGAAAATTTAATTAAAAATGAAAATTCCATTGGGGGAAATTTTTTTTATTTTGCCGCCAAGCCACAGGCAGTTCTGCCTGAATTGCCGCCGTTTATACTTTTAATTTTATACCTGGCTTACAATATACAACTTGTATAGACATATATACAACGCTGTGTATAGTTTTCAAACATATTTCACTAAACTCAAAATGAATCCCTTCCTAATAAAATTATAAAAAAATATTGGTTTATATTTAAAATCCACAAATCATCATGATTATTGTCTGCGGAATTAAACCCTTTAGAATCTCTATTCTTCAATTCTTAACAAGTTGCCAACACAATTACTGGAAAATACATTTTTTTCTTTTAAAAACATTGTTTGTGACAATACCCGCCCTTCCCTACCCGTCATGGGGTTGTAATTTATAAAGTTTTAAATTAACTAAATAATGAAAATTTACAAGGTTGTTAGTAAACTCCTAATTCTAAGACAAAAAGGTGGTGACGGTTTTATTACATGTATTCACGTATCTTTTTAGAATAATAATCCTAGCTTAATCTTAAACAAACATTAATTCAAAATTGTGAGTTTGAAGAAGGGGGATGGCGTAATTACATTTAATTCGACTTGATAAATGTGGATTAACTTGTAGAAAAGTTGGTTGTAAGTTTAATTGATGGTGGTTTTACTTTAAAAGGTTTGAGTCTCCACCTCGCGTTAATTATTCAAAACTTTAAAACCAGATTTATAAAATATTCATTAAGTTTGAGATCAGTTTCGAAATTGAGAGAAATCGGCTCACTTTTAACCCCTTTTATTTCATTAAAAATGGATAATTTTGATTAATTACTTTCCGTTTGAAAGGTAAAGATAAGAGTTGATAATTTATAGATTTTATCTGTCCTTACAAACTCATGAAATACCTAACAAATTATCATCATACTTAATCATCGTGTCGATAATCCTCGAAAACTGCAGCTTCCTGCTTTTTCACAAATTTTCCCGCATTTTTCAAAACCTGTATTTTCAGTTTGAACTTTTGAGAGAAGTATGATAAATTGAGGAATTATGTTTTGGAGGCCGGGCCAGCTGCCTTTTTTCTATTTATAAATTATAGCTTGAATGTTAGATGCTGTGCTCCAATAATGAAATTAAAAAAATATGCTTGACGCAAATTTTAAACATGCAATTCACGGACAATTTGAGAAAATGTACAAATCCATTTATCATAATTACTATCCTTGGACAGTTGGTTAACACTCTATGTCTATATTTATTTACTTTAGTTTAAAAACCTGTTGGAATATTAGTTGCAGTGATTAAACTTACGGTATGATGTTTAGTACGACGGGTGGCCAAGTGGTATGGAGATGCCCCCCAGCAGTATGTATGGTGACCACCGCGCTGCTCTAGATACTATTGCTGCTCACCATGCAGCCGCAGCTCAACACATGAACCATTCATCCAGGAAAATAATCTTCAAAGATTTGGCGCCATTTTAATTAAATTAACTTTCCGCATTAATTTAAATTTTGCATTTTTGGTGGACTTCTTGAAGATTGATTGATTGCAGTGTGGCAGCAATGCACAATCCTTATGCGAACCACAATCCTGCCTCTAGCGTACAGAACCACGTGATGGGGGCACAGACCGGCGTACCAGACGTTCACAAACGGGACAAGGACGCCATCTACGGGTAAGGAACCAAGTTGATTTATAGAGCAGCAGCTTTAAAATTCCTTCCGATCGAGGTGAAAGCGGAAAGGACTCGAATTTTGGCGATTTTTGTCCCCGATAGCCATATTACAATAGATAGGGAATTTGTTTCGGTCGTAAAAAGTAAAATTTTAGATTTTTAGCCTGAAAATTCCATAGATCACATCTTTTTCTTCAAATTTGCAAGCGTGCCTTTTTTACCCTTCCCCCCTGCCCTTTGACCCGTATTTTAACGTTACACCCCCCCCCCCTTCCTCATCCCACCATAACCTGTGAAAAGCAAGAAACAATTAAGTAAATGTAAAGTGAAAAAAACTGAGAGAGCGTTTAGTGTCAGTTTAAATATTCATCAATGTGCGCGCGCAGGTTTCAGCGCGCAACAAGTGTTTTTTTTTCTCCCTGGATAGCTGAGACAAACATAACGAGGAGAAGTTTAATTTGTTTAATTTATGATCCTCTAGCTGGGAGCGTTCAGGGTTTATAAGGGCAATAAAACTACCCTATACCACCCTCACACATCTTACTATCTTTCTCACTCACTTCCTTGCCTCACTTCCTCGCTTTCTTACTTACTTCCTCACTTATTTTCTCACCCACTTCCTTCCTTACTTACTTCCTTACTCTCTTCCTTACTCACTTCCCTACACATTCCTCACTTCCTCACTCACTTCACTTCCTCTTTAACACAATTGCACACTAACTTCCTCCGTCACTCACTTCCTATATTCACACACGTTGTCTCATGCACTTCTATTACTTTTCGCTCTCACTTTTCCATTACCTATAATCCTCTTATTTTTTTATTTTATTTTATTTTCTGCTCATGTTTCTATTCAAGTTTCTTCATTTTTTAACATTTATTCTAAACCTGCTTTTTATGGATATCAAATGCACCATCTGAATTTATATTCTGAATCTTAGCATCCATCCCCCCTTCCCGCTTAAATAAATTTAACCATTTATGGCCTGCAGTCCTTAAAGTGGACCCATCAAAATATTCTAGTTTCAATATTTTTTGCATTCTGCAAACGAAGGAATTCAATTTTCAGTGTTGTCAAGTCCCGTATCTTGAGTTAGGAATACATTTTAAGGATTGCGGATCCNCCCCTCCCCTCCAGCCTCAGGAATAGATCGAAGGTGAAATCTGAGGCCCCGGGGAGGCACGAGGGTTAAAGCAATCCAACAACCAGATTACCCCCCCCCCTTCTCCCTCCCATCCACCCCGAGCTATACTAAAATACATTCATTTTAACTCAAAAATGTCAAAAAAGTCGATTCATCCAATTCACATTCCAAACCTGGGCAATTAGAAAATCAAAAGAATTCTTGTCGATCATGTTTGCAGTAAAAGAGACATATATGTGCAAAAATCCGCAAATTAAATTCAAATATTTTTGTTTACTTGAGCAAAGGGCGGGGCGCTAGGATAAAGGCGGGGTTTAAAGTATGATGGGTGGTGTAGATTTATTTAAGAATTTTAATGGGTTGAGATTAGGACTAAAAGTGTTAAAATTTGACCAAGTAAAAAATGTTTAATTAGCTGCATGGCGTCACGTCTCATTAATAAACTTGTTTCAAAAACTTGTCTTTTATGCGAGTCGGGTTGAAAATAGTAAAATCCGCGAAAGATCATTAATTTTGGTGAATCTGCAGAAGCTGCAAAAAGGTTTGGTTTGGTTTAATAATAAAGTCTCCCGGAGTAGATCATAAATTATGGCGGACAATATATCAAATCCGACCTTGAACATTTCTCCCGTTATGTAGATTTGTTTTCATTGCTCAATTTTCCTCGCATCAAATTGATATTTTTACAAATCATAAAAAACGACTTTTTTTCTCGGGACAGAAAATATGATCGGCCATTAAATTAGACAAGGGCGCACGACTGTTATTTATTGGATTTTATTAATCAAAATCTACTTCAAATGTTTGAGACATTTCCCGTTCATTTTTAGGTCCAAAGATCGATATGAACAAATCTTAAATGACGGAAATTCAGCCAGGGTTTAGGGTTGAAAAATCTTTCGATGATTTAATTTTTTGCATCCCATCTCGAAATAGCGGAATGTTAAACTTTTATCGGGTTGAATTTTTATGTAGAAAATGAAGGTCCCTTAAATTTCCCCGTTTTGAAACCGCCCACAAAACTGGGAATATGGACGGGGGAATTTTTTTATTTCTATTCATATGTTAATCCTTTTCATAGCAGAGCTTATTTTTTCGATGAACACCTGTGTGTGGGGAGGGGGGGGGGGTGGAGGATGCCTTGAAATTCTAAATTATTTCTGTATGTGTTTAAAATTGGGCTATTTAACGGGCGTAGGTGCCTTATAAAGGTGGCTATATTTTGTTTAAATTAGAACAATCTGGCAAAAATCTTTGACGCACAATTAGAATACACCCAAAAGTCTTCATTTGTCTGTTGTTTATGTATGTCTGTTAGAAAACGTGTCTGTTATGTTTGGAGGTTTTTGATGAGATATCTGATCGGTTCAAATCGGAATAAAAATATTTATACTGGCTTCTCAGCAGACATCTTGATTTGGGATTAAAATCAGAATAAAATTTCTTAACTTAATTAAATACCTCTTTGATATCCAATTAACTGTTAAAAATTCCAATGTGGACTTTTTTAAGGAGATAGTAAAAATTTGTCCATGGCGGGAAACAGGGGGACGCTTAAAAAGATTTGTTTAAAAAAATGAATGTTGTTTACGTTTGCAAGGGCTGTGGGGTATAAGGTGACAAATCCCACAAATCCCAGGGTTGGGGGAGGGAGGGGGTGAATAGTCTTTTTTAAAGTTACTCATTGGCCCGTCACGTCACAGCTACATTCTTATTTTGTGTTAAAATTTTTTAAAAAATTCTTGCCTCATATATTTCATCTCATCACTTACCCACAAAAATTCCCCTCATCCCCCCCCCTTCCCATCTTATTCTGTTTACATGTGGTGTAGTTTGCATATATCTGTCTCCACAGGATACGCTAAGAAAAGATGGAGGGGGGAATCAAGGAAAAACATAATTTAAAAAAAGATGTTCGTCCTTTTATCTTTTGAAAAATGATCCTGATTTTTTTAGCTCATCTCTTTCGTTGCTTATTTTCCCCTTCCCTTCTCTTTCCTTCCCAATCCCCCTTCCTCTCCCTCCCCTCCTCCTTCCTTCCCCATCCCTCTTCCTCTCCCTTCCCTTCACCCTATTCTCCCTCAAATGGGGGCACCGGAAGTGTCTTGGGTCTTCTCAATTTAAAGATTCAAAACAAACCCCCCTCGGGGGGAAAATTTCAAAATTTAACGTCAGAAATAGTTTGTAGGAAAGTTTTCCTAATGACTAAAATTTGTATATTTAACTGAAAAATGTTAAAAATACAATATTAACCGAAGTCCACAGTAGTGAGTCTATGAGAAACTAAAAAACACCAAGTACCCCCCCCCCCCCCCTTATGGATTCCTACCGATTTAAAAGTTGTAAGAAGTTACATGAACTTAATCAATCTTTTTATAAAGATTGATTTAGTATATTTGATATTATTTCAAACTAAAAGATAGAGTAAAGGTCTGTCAGCTCGAAAAATGAAGAATTTATGAAGAATTTTTGCTTAAGAATGTGAGAGTAAGGGTATAGGGGTAGGGGCGTGTAAGGTTATGGGAGGGGTGGGGGCCTAGAGGTTTGGGTTGGGCGGAGCAATGTTACGTATTGGGTATACTAAATACGTATATAGGAAGTATTTAGGCTCAAAACTTTTCAAATTTTTAAACTTAGATTTTTCATCGGATTGGATTGCTAGAATAGCATTCATATGCAACATGTGTTCAAAAATATTTTTTGTCAAATTAAAATGTTTAAATTAAGATATTTCGATTTTTCTTGATGATATTTGTACTAAAGAAGATGGGGGAGGGGTACATGTAATCCTACGCCCCTGTCAATGAGGGGTTTGGCTGTCAAGGGTTTGACTGATCTCCCATTCCATCCCAGCTCACCCCATAACCTTAACTAGTCCCATATATATATATATATATATATATATGTCCACATACATGTAGATATAGAGGGGGGGGGATACGGGCACATGAGGGGGCTAAAAATAGATAAACTGAGGGTATCAAACTAAACTTTCAGTTTTAGGACACAATTTTTTAAAATTCGGTATCAAATACGTGTACACTGTACAGTATTCACTTTGTATTTGTATTGCACAATACATTCTGTACTGTATGTATTTGTGCACTGATAACCCCAATTAAGCAATTAATTGAATTTTCTTGACAACATCTTTCTCCACCCGATTAAATAAAGGGAAGTTGATAATTTCATTTGTAATCTCATTATTCTCATAACCTTACATAACCTTAAATATACATTGCCTGTAGGAAGTGGGGGGCATTTTCTCAATATGATCTGTCATTTTCACTTTTATTCTGTCATAAATAAATTTAAGAATCATACTGAGGGAGGATAAACAAAGATAAAACCGACTTTTCCTAAGTATTCAACCATGACAGTACACCCAATTCCGCGTATTTAACGAAAACAGCTGGTTTTCATTCGCTGGTATGGAATATGTAATATATTGTTTATATGGTACATATTGATTTAGTATTAATTTTGATTTAATTCTTAAGTTCACAATAAAGATAAAAATACATTTTCAGGGTTTGAAGCTCCCCCTCCCNGGGGGGGGGTCATTACTCCAAATAGTTGTAATGATCATTATAATAACTACATTTCTGCTCTTACTGCCAGATAGATGAATATAGGGATAGAAAGATCTATAGATAGATAAATAAATAAATATATGTTTTGTTAGATGTGCATATAGATGGATAGATAGATTTATAAATATTAAACATCGAAATTTGAAAAATAGATATATAGGTATATAGATTGTTAGATATGATTATGCAAAGAGAAATAGATAGATAGATATGGCTGTTGTACTGTATGGTATATTAAGCAGATGCTGTATGCAAGAGTGAACCATAATAATTATTATAATGATTATCCTGTTAATGATAATTATTGGGACCAAATTATCCACTCCTCGTACCCGTCACCCTTGTCAAGCCATTTCCTTCCTCAAATCCTCAAAACATGTCTGAAACGAAACTTTGCGAATTTTTCTGAAAATTTGGCGCATTTTTGATTTTTTACTTGTTTCAGGCATCCCTTGTTTCCCTTGTTGGCTTTGATCTTTGAGAAGTGTGAGCTGGCGACCTGTACACCTAGAGATCCTGGGGTAGCAGGAGGAGATGTTTGTAGCTCAGAGTCATTTAACGAGGATATTGCAGTCTTTTCAAAACAGGTAGGATTAAATATATTCAGATGGAAACTTTTAAATAAACGTTTCATTCATTCATTCTTAGCTTAAGCTTTTGCTATCTCATTGTTTTTTTTACAAATTAAAGTTTCCAGATTTTGTTGTGTATTGTAAAAACTTAAAAAATTATATCAATTAGTATGAAAGAAATTGTATCTCTATATGTACGGTACAGTACGATGTACAAGTGTAAAATCTTCATTTTGCTGCAAATATTATATTCTTGTTTTTCTTTTGCAAATTCTCTCCGGAACATTTGACACTTATGGCGCGAGATTTAGCCTTTTTTATTCCTCATTTGAAATTTTGATGCAAATTCGGGCCGGGTTTTGAATTATTTGCCATAAATCAAACGTGTCAAAACTTTTTGTTCCTCCGTGAACTTCTGACACCCAAGTTAAGACGCGACCAGGGGGTATGTTTTTCCCTCCCCCCCCCCCTCCCCTCCACCCTTCTCAGTTTTATATATTTTTATGACGTTGAGCATGATGCCAAGATGACTTTTTAAACATGTGACGTAGTTTAACCCCTGACATAATATTTCTCCCTGAGTTCTGTGACTGATTTAGCATAAATGTTCCGCTTTTTGTCCACTGTTCCATATTTTCTAAAATCGTCCAGCAAGATTCAACTTTTTGTTCTATTTAATATTCAGTTTATAGAATATATACCCCCCCCCCTCCCTTGCACTCTGCTTCAATCAAGTTAAAAAACAGTCTACAGTATCAAATGTCTTTGAAGCTTTTAGTCTTTTAACCCCCCCCCCTCATCCCGCCCACAGCCGTGTGTCCCAGTGGGAACTCAAACTGTCGTACAACTTTAAGATTGACATTCTCTCACAATATTCATCCTACCTACCTACCCTCTCACTACCCACTCACCCCCTACCTCTACACAGTTCCTACCTACCCACCCAACTACATGTTCTCAACAGTGTCTACTTAACACACTAATCTGTATCTAACCTATTTCTGTAAATAATGCAAAGAATGGACAAAATTTCCAAGTTTTTGCCCTTTCCTTAATATTTCTCTGTCGAGACGGCCCAAGGGAAAAGTAATCCGTCTTATTCGCCTTTCTCCGAGACACCTTTCTTATTTTTCAGCCTGCTCGCAATTTTTTCAGGTTTTTTAATTTGACAATTTTTGCCTCAATACTTAGTTACAAAATTTAAGGATAGAAAGATGGATAGATGTAGATGTTGTCTAGATTGAAACAGAGCTGGATAGATAGATATAGATCTGGTATAGATAGAAACAGAACTGGAAAGATAGATATAGATCTGGTATAGATAGACATATAACTGGAAAGACAAAACTGAATACAATACCTCAGAGGGTCGTTACACTGGGATACTCGGATACAAGTTTAAATATTTTACACTTTTTGTTGTTTTACTGCTTATCTTCTCTACCCCATGCTGTTCTTTTTCTTCTTACCATCGTAGGTGAAGGGACTGTTTACCTATTTAAAAATGTTCCTAAGGACCAGAATGTAAAATATTCTCAGTAAAATCCCTTTAATGCTAGGTATGACTAGCTAGGTATATAATGTATATATATATGAAGTAAATGATGGTTGAATGGATGTAAGCTAGTGTTGTAGGACATGGTTTAGAGATAGGTTGATAGATAGATAGGTTGATGAACCACAGTCAACCCCCTGCTGAGTTGATCCTTACAGTCAACCTTAAACAGGAATACATAGATATATATTCTTTACATAGTCAACCTTAAACAGTGATAGATAGATATATTTACACTATACATAGTCAATCCTATCCAGTAAAAAAAAATCTCAGGTTTTTTTACCCAAAGAAAAGTTCCCAGAGGGATAAAAGTCTCCTAAAATGTGTCCAGAAATGTGATCGTTTTCCTGTCATAAAGCTCAACTTTCAAGATGCTGGCCAAATTTTAAAAGACAAAAAATTCACGAACTGAACTTCACAGTGTACAGTTTACACTAGTGTACAGTGTACAAGTAAATGCGGGAACATTACGTGGTAGTAAACCCGCAATTCATCTCAGTAACGGTGTAAAGCATGGTGTTGCATGGAATTCAGCTATTTAATGATGTGCTTCAGATTAGTTTTTACTTGGTATTCTGCTCAGATTCCAATCAAGCCTGGTATTATCTAGCCCCGTCCTGGCTATTTGACGAGGATCCTTCACTGTTTGTTATTTTAGAAATTGTTCGGTAAATCCACGAGTGTTCAATACAACCACTTGGGATTATTTGAAATGTTTATGTTTCTATTCACTATATTCCAACAAAAACACCTGATAATGGCCTAAGGACCATTCAAGTGTATATATCCACACATTGTTTGTATTAAATATGTACACTCCGCCTTACTTTAACATATTACTTTTTCGCTGTAAGCTAAAAATAAATCAAAATGGTGGAAATGAAAAAATAAAATGGCGGAGAGAAATAAAATGGCCGCCTTTCGTATTGGAAACATATAATACCGAACACAATGAGGATCTAGCATGACAAATACGATCTGAGAAAAATGCCGCTTCGGGTCCATTCACATGAAATCTTGGACATACAAATACAAACACAAAGGGTCCCCCACGTACACACACCCTAAAATGACGATCAGTAAAACCTACACAAAAATTCCTCTCTAAATCACAATCTTTGGATAAAAATTTGCAACGGTGATGCTCTTGGGGGCCCTACTGTCCTTGTTAAATTTAAAGCCCCCCCCCCTGATGGCTACTGAGTTGACAATGGTTGGTAATTATATGATTGTTATGGTTGGTGTTTATACATCAAGTAGATTATAAATCAAACCTAGTTTAGAGAGAGTTCTGTATATAGAACTCATAACTAGCTGGCTATTGTTAGTTCAACCAACTGGACAATCAGTGGAGAAGCATCCCCCCCCCCCTTCTCCTTATTCCTGCCCACATCTTCTCCTTATTCCTGCCCATATCCACCTTATTCATGCTCATATCCACCTTATTCTTGCTCATCTTATATCCCTATTCCTGCCCATCTTCTCCATATTCCTTCCAATCTCCCTCCGTATTCCTGCCCATCTCCTCCTTAATTCTGCCCATCTCCTCCTTAATTCTGCCCATCTTCTCCATATTCCTTCCAATCTCCCTTCGTATTCCTGCCCATCTCCTCCTTAATTCTGCCCATCTTCTCCATATTCCTTCCAATCTCCCTCCTTATTCCTGCCCATCTCCTCCTTAATTCTGCCCATCTCCTCCTTATCCTTCTTTGATGTAGATAACTGTATCTGATAATTTGACTTTTATATCATTTTTTCCATTTCATATCTTCTTGTCTGTCGTGATTATAGAAGCATTAGCCACAAATTCCTTGTTAAATACCAACGGATAAGACAAGGGTTTTTATCAGCCTGATTATGGACTTTTTGACAAGGGGCCTGCGGTGCGCTTATCAAGGGACACTTAAGGACCAATTAGGTCAAAAATGTTTCATTCAAAGCCAAGGTATTGAATGGAGGGTAGTTTTGAGAATTTGATGTTTTCTCAACACCATGAATTTTTTAGGTCAATTTTATTATCTGTTAAAGTAGATTGAACTTATGCTAATCCAAAACAAATTTGAAATAACTGTTTTATAACAACTGTTGTTTGTTTTGTATGTTTTTTGCCTCAATACTTAGTTACA